TTCATAAATTCATACAGACATTGGATGTAAATAATTCATAAAATATAACCTAATTGTATTCAAGAACTTTACCTCAACTACCTCTAATAATGTTTATATGCCATAGACATAGTGAAGTGTATAATATACGCCTATGACTACTTGAATCAGTTGATGTGTGTACACTGTACATATATCAACTGATTTAACTAGCCATAGGCGCAGTGGAGTGTACATACATTGACTTAAGCATTAATTTATTTTGGTTGGGCAGACTATCTATGTAGCTACGTTTAAAGGACACCTTTTCCAATACATATTAAAAATATATTAAAAAATCCACGTTATAGCACTTTTAAATCATATTAGTTTTTATTATGAATAATCAATATTTAGTTAATTAAGCTATTAACTAATTAATTAGTAATAATATTAATAATTTTTTATTAACAAATTTTCACAGAAAATAGGAAAAATCATTTCTTTACATCCATGAATTTTCCGGAACTTCTGAATTTTTCCTCCCATTAACTTAGTTGGAATGGATGGGGGGAATAGTCACTCCACCCACTAAGTTAGTGTTTACACCACTCTCTTATATATGTTATGATGTTGTAAAATTTAACTTTTACTTTTTATACGAGCTTCACTTGTTGGGAGTATATCTTTTGATACCAAGTTATAAGCATTTAGATAAGAATTGACAAAGTTAAAACATTTATACTAGGATGTGTTTAAGTTATAAGTAAAGAAAAACAAAAGTTTTGAATACATTTCTTTAACAATTCCATGTTTCAAAAATTTGTTACTTAAATCCTCATAACTATTTTTTCAATTGTTTAATTTTGATAGTTTTTTCACTTTTATATTGAATAAATACTCTTTCAATGATATATAATAATCTAATATTTAAAAATATAACAATTTAAAAATCTAATATTGAACTATCTAACAATTTAAAAATTTCACGTCGCATATCTACATTAAGGAAAACTAATTACTTTTTTTCCATCTTTACTTTAAAGATGAAACTTTGTACTTTGAAAATTACAACTGTTTTGATTTTTAACATCCCGCAAAAGTATAAGTACTTTAATGTACAAAATTCAACAAAAAAATCATTACTTTTTGTTAATTATTGTTCGATTTCTTACATAATTATCACTTTTATTAAGTTTTGACATTTGTTTTGAATTTCTAACATACGCGCGCATGCCTCTCTTTTAAAATCAGCGAATCAGGTTGCGTATGTCTCTGCAAGTATACGACCCAGTGGGCACGGAAGTAAAAAAAGACGTCTTTTAAACGTCTTATACACGTTTTAGACGTTTTCTGAACGTCTTTTGAACGTTTTAGACGTATTTTAAACGTTTAAAAGACGTCTTTTTTACTTCCGTGCCCACTGGGGAGAGCCGAAGTTGTAGGTTTTTGGAATTCCAAAAACCTTGTCCTCTAACTTCCATAGTAGATGCCACAGATATAGAATAATGGATGGAAAGCCTTTCTAGAAATCTGCTACATAATTTATAAATTAAATTAAAAATTTAAACTATTTTTAAACGGC